TTGTCACGTCTAGACTGGACTATTGCAATGGTTTATTATCTGGGTGTCCAAATACTTCTTTAAAACGTCTTCAGTTGATCCAAAATGCTGCTGCCAGAGTCTTAACTGGAGTTACTGGGAGAGATCATGTCTCTCCAGTTTTAGCTTCTCTCCATTGGCTCCCTGTCAAATCCAGAATAGAATTCAAAATCTTACTTCTAACCTACAAAGCTCTCAACATCCTAGCTCCATCTTATATTACAGATCTTATTGTTCCATATTTTACTAACAGAGCACTTCGCTCTCAGACTGCAGGTTTACTTGTGGTTCCTAGAGTTTACAAAAACAGAATGGGAGGAAGATCTTTCAGTTCTCAGGCTCCTCTCTTGTGGAACCAACTTCCAGTTTCTGTCCATGAGGCTGACACATTGTCCAGTTTAAGACTGGGATTAAGACTTTCCTTTTTGATAAATCCTATAGTTAGGGTCAGCTTGTTATGCTGCTATAGGCTTAGACTACTAGAGGACAAACTGACCTCTGTTCTTAAATGAATTGTTAAAATTGAATAGTTTTCATTTGATACTATTTCTATCTTAACATGTGATTCTTGACCTGCCATTGTGTATCTGTTCTTACCAAACTCAGCTGGTCGAAGCAGATGGTCCTCTAGTCCTGATCCTGGTTCTGCTAAAGGTTTCTTCCTCATGAGGGAGTTTTTCTTTCCACTGTCGTCTTCAGGGCTGGAACAAGTCTCCATGGGGCCCTAAGCGAAATTTGGTTTGGGGCCCCCTATTTCTTCTAATAATGTGGATTACTGCAATCAACAGTCAGATGATCAGATCATTCACCGACCTGACATAAACACTTTGCAACTCTGACAACCCTGTTTACATTACCCTATATGAATATATCATCTATAATCACTATGAAAAATCACATCATGTTGCTGCTGATCTGTTTCATGTTGCTGCTGATCTGTTTCATGTTGCTGCTGATCTGTTTCATGTCGCTGTTGATCTGTTTCATGTTGCTACTGATCTGTTTCATGTTGCTGCTGATCTGTTTCATGTTGCTGCTGAT